CGCCTGCGTCACCGCGCCTCTAGCGTGACGTTAACGCTTCCCCGTCACGCCCCGCCCCGCCCACGTGAGTGACGGCGCGTTCACCAATGAGAGGCGGCTGAGGCGTGACTGACGCGGCGCGCGGCCAATGGGCGGCGGGAGGGGCGGAGCCGGCGGGCCGGGCGGCGGGCGGGCCGCGCCTGTCAGCGGGCGGCGGGATGGCGGCGCTCTACGCCTGCACCAAGTGCCACCAGCGCTTCCCCTTCGAGGCGCTCAGCCAGGGCCAGCAGCTCTGCAAGGTCCGGGAAAGSGGCTGCTCGGGGTGGACTCGGGGGRAAGTCTGTGAGGGAGCTTACGGGGGGCATTTTGGGAGGAGACTGATGGGAGTGTGAGGAGGGCTGTGAGGGAAATGGGGGATGATCTGTGAGGGAATTTGGGGGTTCTGTGGGGTAAAGGGCATTCTGGAGGATTGTTTGTGAGGGAGCGCAAGTAATGGAGTGTTTTTAAGGAGTCTGGGGTCTCTTAGACGGACTGAARGTAATTGGGGGCTGTTTGTGGGATATCCTGGGAGTATTTCTGGAGAGCGGGGCCTTGAGGTGTCTTGTTTGGGGTCTGTGTGGGGAGTGGGCGGTTGTGGATGAGGGCCTGGGAGCTTTTGGGGTGTTTTGAGGGGCTGGAGCACGGAGGAAAAACCTGCGGGCTGTTACGAGAGTGTTGGGGAAGAACAAGATGAGGGATGAAATAAGGAACAAGGGAAAGAATTGTAGTAGTCTGGGATTGCTGAGGCTGGGACAAAGCAGGTGAGTTCAGGGCAGCTGGGGAAGCTGGGATGAGAGGAGAGCGGTGCCAGTGGGGCCGGAGGTACAGGAAACTGGTGAGTACTGGAGGCAGAACTGTGTGTCCCTGCCCTGTGACCCCGCTCTGTGGGCGTGAAGCACGAACCAGCCCTGGTGACAGATCTCACCTGTGACACATGCCATCTCTCTCTGTGACTGTACAGGGAGGAGGTGTTTGCATGTGTGTGGATGTSGTGGGGTTTGGGGAGCCACACTGYGCCTCATGGAACACTTGTGTTTGTGTTGTTGCAGGAGTGCCGGATTGCTCATCCCATTGTTAAATGCACTTACTGCAGGACTGAATTCCAACAGGAAAGGTAAATGCCTGCTGAACTGGGGAGATCCATGTTTCCTGTAGAACAGTCACACCTAGGGAACCATAATGTTATGGTTCAGTTACAGCCTTAACCTGTAGATTGTTGCTGTGGAAGACTTGGGGGACCTTAGGCCACCTTCAGAAGTCTGCTGGGCAAGTTAGAGTGTCAGCAGTGCACTTGGATTATGCCTTTTGATTGGGTTTTGTGTCCAGTCAGAGCTCAGATGTGTATTCCAGGGATGGATCTGGTTGTATTTTCCCATGATTTTTCTTCTTACCTCATTTCTGCTATCCAGCATTTATTTCCTGCTGTGTATCCTTTGACTGGGCTTTTGTCTTTGCATTTTGACAAGTTGTGTAGATGTCAGAGGGAGGATTGATAAACCCAGAGCTTGTGTGTGGCCATTGTATGGGGTGTTCCTTTCTGTGTTTGCTGGACAAATATACCTCTGTCCTCTCCTGCCTTAACCTCCAGAATGCAGCCTGCCCTGTTGCTGAATCATTCMTGCTGCCAATTAGTCAGTGATCAAATGCTGTGTTTGTATGGACAAAACACTGGTGTCATCTGGGAATGCCTTAATTAAAAGATACCTCCTAGWAATGCCACTTTTTAGCATGTATCCTCTGCCAGATGGGTATAGGAAAAGCTCTTTGGTACCTGAGTCCCTAGAGAGGATGAATCCAGGCTCATCACCAGAGACAGAGCTGGGGGAGGCTGGGATCCTAACCAGAGTCCTGGGATCTGAACRAGGCATCCTAAATACAGAGGTTTCATTTTCTGTTGGAATGTCTTAAYAGAATGATCTGTCTTCTTAACAGCAAAACCAACACAATATGTAAGAAGTGTGCTCAGAACGTGAAGCTCTACGGCACAGTAAGTGAGCGGGACTCACCCTCCCAGCCTCTCTTCCTTTCATATTTGTCTTTATCCTGCTGAAATTCCAGAGCAGTTTATGGTCTGGCTCTGCTATAAGAGCATGACTGATCAATACTACTAGTCACTCAGCCGTGAAGCTTTGACTTTTTATCTTCTTTTAGCACAAAAAAGAGCAGCTTTGCATTGTTTGAGCCAGGAAATGATCTTTTCAATACTCAGTGGAAACAGGAGTGTGCTTACACAGACTGAGATTGCTGCAGGAAGCAGTGATAAATTTTTATTTCCTGTTTATCTGAAATCTGAAATATATTTTGATTGGTTCTRTATTGATGTTAGACATTTTTCTAAAGATTTCACAGCACTTGATAAATGGTCYGAGTGCCGTGGCTAAATACACTTAGCTGGGGACCAGCAGTCCAAACGGAGTTTGCCTCCTGGATCAGCATTATWCTCTGCTTGGAATAAGGAAATAAAAGTTTGAAATTACGGGGAGAATGAGAAGAAGCAGTGCACTATTGTGGCTAGAAGGCTGTATCAGTTGTTCTTGTTTTTTAAAGCCAAAACCCTGCCAGTACTGCAACATCATAGCAGCATTTATTGGAAACAAGTGCCAGCGTTGTACCAACTCAGAGAAGAAGTATGGCCCYCCTCACTCGTGTGAGCAGTGCAAGCAGCAGTGTGCGTTTGACCGGAAGGATGACAGGAAGAAGGTCAGTATGTGTGTRAAAGAAGGACAAAAGGAAAAAGGGCTGATCACAGTGATCCTCTGTCCATCTTCTTTACATCTTCTCTAGCATTTCTGACAGGACAAGTTGGAAAAGCTTCCCACTGCCAGAGGGCAGGGTTAGATAGGATATTGGGAAGAAATTCTTCCCACTGAAGGTGGTGAGGCCCTGGCAGAGGGTTTCAGAGAAGCTGTGGCTGCCCCATCCATGGAAGTGTTCAGGCCCATGTTCAAGACAGGGCTTGTAGCAACTCTGCTTGTGTGGTGGAAGCTGTTCCTGCCCATGGCAGGGACTGGAACTAGATGAGCTTTAAGGTCCCTTTCAACCCAAACTATTCCATGATTCCAAAAGCATTTGTCTCTTGGTTATGAAGTGTTTTTCTGCAGTTGAGCTTTGCTCTGGTTTAAAGCTATTTGATCTTTGAGTCCCTGTGCTCCTTTGATAGAGCTACTAAGAAAGATGTCTTGAATTTGGACTAAGAGCTGGCATAGGAACAGAGGACTCTGAGTGAGGTCTGAGGTGCCRCTTGAGGAGAGGGATGGGGAATGATATTTGTTCCATAGTCTGAGGAGCTGAAATGTCATACCTCCACTGGGAAACTCCTTCCATGGCTCCTGTACACCCTTTGCTTCAACAGCTTGAGTGCTCTCTAGGAGGTGTATCTTCCCCAGGCAAACTGTAGATGTTGTTTGGGATGCTGCACTGATAATCCCTGCCCTGCTGAGCCTCCTGGAGCAGACACTTGCTGTTTTGGTCTCCAGTGACTGCCTGTCCATTCAGAGGATCCTTTTTGAGTCTCTGCTTGTTCATGTGTGATCTTAACCTTGAAGGTGCTTCTTGTCTTTTCTGTATTTGCTTTGTGCRCAGGAAGAAAGACCAAAACTTCTTTCTGTCTCCCCTTGCAGGTGGATGGAAAGCTGCTGTGCTGGTTGTGCACATTATCCTATAAACGGGTCCTGCAGAAGACCAAAGAGCAATGCAAACACCTGAGCAGTTCTTCCCGAGCCAGCCTGCAGGAGAAGGAGCAGTTCAGCAGGCTCAGCAGTGGCAGTCACTATAACAGGTAATCTTGGGGTGGGCTTTGGGTAGGGTCTAAGTTCAGGAGAATCTGRGTAAGTCACACTTTGCTGCTTTGCAAACTTCACCGTGCTGATGCAGCCTTATGCTTCTTAGTGATCCCCTTTACTGAACTTATGTACAGTGAAAGCAAAGTTGCATTTGTAAAATCTAGTGATTAAAATGCAGATTTTAAGCAGGAGTTCTTCACCTACGTGCTGCCCTGACTCACACTGTTTTCTGTTTATTTTTAGTCTCCCGCTATTCCTCAGGGAATGAAGTTTTTTGTCATTTTTGCAGTGGGAAATACTGTTTYAATAGGATCAAAGTGGGCGAGAATATTTATGTGCCTCTCTGTCTTAGACTGAAAGTCRTTCAGGTTCTGACATAGGATTTCCTCCTTTTTCTAGCCAGAAAACTTTATCCACGTCTTCCATTCAGAATGAAATCCCAAAGAAGAAAGCCAAGTTTGATGCCATATCTGCCAATGGTGACAGGTGAGCCTGTTACATGGGGAAATTGTGGGCAGGTTGTTTTGTTTGCTGATTTTATATAAAACAGAGTTGTGTGTGAATAGCAGGAAGCTCTTATGCCAGAGCAGGGACCTTGGGCTTTGAGACCTCGAGGGGCCACCCTAGACCCTAGCAGACCAGTGCTACCTGGAATTTAGACATAGGTTTGAAGAGAAAAAACACTGAGCACCTGTACCTGCTTGAATGGAAACTGATGGTTGGCTGAGCTCCCCAATGGTCAGACCAACTTTATCCTCTCTCTGCAGTCACAGGGAGAGAGGGACTGGTTAGATTTGCAGGTTTGTGCTTTGGGGTCTGCCAGACTCAGAGGATCCAGACCCACCTTCCATGTCCCCTCCTGCCTTTGGGGGAGAGACAAGCAATCCAGCAGCTTTGCTTGAAAGGTTGTGGACTCCCCATCCTGGAGGTGTTCGAGACCAGGTTAGACAGGACATAGAGYGRTTTGGTCTAGTGGARGGTGTCCCTGCCCATGGCATGGGGTTGGAACAAGATGATCTTTAAGATTTGTTGCAGCCCAAACCATTCCACAATTCTCTGATTCTGGGAAAGCATCTGACCCCTTCTGCTGGCACACTTGGTGCTGGATCATGTTGACACCAGCTACCTGTGCAGCWGGATGGGAGTCACTAGCAGAAACAGGAGATTGAGATGGATTTGTATTTTTGTGGTCTTGTAATGCATATTTTCATTCCTGCCTTTCCTCTCTGATTCTCAGCGTTCCTTCCTCTCCCGAGATGCTTTGCCCCCTTATCCAGAGGGCCCCGTCCACGTTGGCGCAGTGGGCTGCTTCCCAACAGACTCTSGGGGCCCACCATTGTCCTGTTGCTCAAGGCATTGACATCCTGAAGTGAGATCACCTGTTGTTTTCTCCCCTCCCTCCCTGGGAACTGCTTCACACATGGGAACTCTCCCTCTCAATGGATACCTTTCTAAACAGCAGAGATTTGGGAGCATGMACCAGAGCATAGTTAGTGCCAAAGGGTTTGTTAATGCCACTGGTAATTAATCACTGCCTGCCTTGAATGTCTCTGAAATCACAGATCTCCTCTATAGATGCTGTTGACACCTTGTCACTGTGAAATGCTCCCATGGGAAATGCCCCATCCCTTGAAGTGTTCATGGCCAGGTTGGATGGGGCTTGGAGCAACCTGATCTAGTGGGAGACATCCCTGCCCATGGCTGGGGGTGGAATGAGATGGGCTTTAAGGTCATATAAAAGGGAAGGGTTTTGGGGGTTCACCCTAATAAAAGAACCCTCAGCAACTCCAAAACCACACTTAAGGGGCACAGTCTGAGCATGGAGTTAAGGCCTGCTGCAGCACAAGGGTGTTTTCAGTAGCAGCGGAGTGGAGTAAAGTCACAAAACCAACACTTACTCCCTGCTGAGATCAGCCCCAACTTCCTCTACACTGGCCCCTGSCTCCAGACAAACCTCTGGTGCAGCCCTCAGCTGGGCAAAATTTGAGCAGRTTTGAGTTCAGTTGACTTTGGCAACACTTCCAGCCAGGGTCCAGCTTATCTGAAATTATCACTCCTTCTTACATATGAGAAAAATTCCTTTACTGTGTTGTACTGAATTCCCTCTGTGTGTTTTTGTGAGGGACAARTATTTTAGAGTGGTTGTCGCTCCCAATGGCTGTGATATGTGGACAGGATGATTTCCAACAGTCTTATAAAGGATGTTGAATGGTTTGYCGTGGATAAGTTCTGGGAGGAGCAGACAGCTCTGACACTGCTGCACTGGGAGTAGTTTTCCCTCCCAGTGACTCTCAGCACACCTTGCAGCAGACCTGGCCTTATTAATCCTGCTGTGCTGCCAGTGCCCCTTGGTCCTGTGCTGCCCAGCACTCTGGCTTCACCTCCAGCCCCTGGAGCTGTGCTCATCCTGATTTGGGCACTCGTGGTGTCCCCATCCTCTTGTGCCAGTGCTGGCAAAGTGTTTTTATGCTGCAGACTCTGCAAAAGAGCACACTGCAGTCCCTTCTCCTGTCACTGCAGACAARGTGCTAAACTCTGCTTGTAACACCAGGCAGTGACAGCACTGCTGGCTGGGGGAGGGCAGCAGTGCCTTAGGATGCTCAGCAGCAAAGTTCATTTTTAAGAAGATTCTCATTTGCATGGGAAAGCCGTGGCATAGCTTGAAGCTCTGTGGTTTGGTCTATACTGCACTGAATGGAGGATGTTTTTTCATGCAATCTTTAGAATGGTTTGGGTTGGAAGGGACCTTAAATCTCAACTCGTTCCACCCCCTGTCCTGGGCAGGGGCATCTTCCACTAGACCAGGCTGCTCCAAGCCCCATCCAGCCTGGCCTTGGACACTTCCAGGGATGGGGAGTCCACAGCTTCTCTTGGCACTCTGTTCCAGGGCCTTGCTGCCCTCACAGGAAAGARTTCCTTCCCAATATTCTGTCTATCCCTGCCTTTTGGCAGTGGGAAGCCATTCCACCTTGTCACAAGTCCCTCTCCAGCTCTCTTGCAGTCCGTTTAGGCACTGAAGCAGGCTGTAGGGCCTCCCTGGATCCTTCTCCAGGCTGAACACCYGCAGCTCTCCCAGCCTGGCTCCAGAGCAGAGCAGTYAGTAATGTGCTTGCACACAGGGAGGTGCAGGAGCACCCAGCATCAGCTTGCACAGCCTCCAGTTTGGAAAACTGTTTGGGAGAGTTTTAAAATGGAGTTGTTCTGTGCTAATGTGTGGGTATGAACCTCTCTGCCTAGCACAGAGCTGGATCCAGGGTGCCCAGAGAGCTGCCACATCTTTGTATGGGCTCTGCTGTCAGTATGTTTAGCCATGCAGGGCTCTTGCACTGGGGGCTGTCTCCTACAGACCCTCAGTTTCCTTTGCCAGGTTTTCTCTCCCAGTGCATCAGGGCCATCCTCTGACTCTCAGGTCTGGAAAGCTGCCTCTGCTTAGTTTCCCTCTATGGATCCCCAGCACAGTGGGGGAAAGAGCCTTTCTTCTGCCACATCCTTACTAATGAGTCCAGTCAAAGCAGACTGTGGTGCTTTTAATTAGAAAATGGATCATTTCCAGATGCTAGAGGAGACCACATATGAGGTGAGCAGCAAGGACTCAGCCTTAGGGTACAGGCAGGGGACTGGAAGCTCAGAGGTAGAAACATCCTCAAGAGAGGCAGAATTTTGTGCTCAGACCATGGCTTCCCCACTCTGTTGCAGCTTCCAGTGTTAGAGCTGAGTGTTGATCTACTCTGGAGGCTTTAGAGAAAAAAAGGTCAGCCATTGAGTGAACCTGACGATTTATCTTTATTTGTCTGATAACAGCCACACTTGAAGTCATCTTCTAGGTAAAGGTTTGTTGTCTTATTACCATTCAGTTTTTGTACAGCAGTTCCAGGTGTGTGTGGCTGGGAGTGTGCTGCCTTCAGCACCAGGAGATAACAATCAACCTTAGGGATTGGCAGGGAAAAATCGGGTGGGCCCCTGGGCCTGTGGATAAGTTGTATCTTCTGATGCAGAGTTTTGCTGTAGCACAGGACTGGGTGTGCCTGCCTGGGTCACTGGGGGTCTCATGGGGAGGTTTGCAGTTTGCCRGTACAGGAGTGACTCATGCCCACAYAACTCTGCAGATGGTTGCTTAGATTTGGACTRCCTGGTGGCATACAGGTGATGTGCTCAACTATCCCTCTGCCTTCCTGGAGAGYTTTTCCTACTCTGAAATAATGAAGCTTCTCCCTAAATTGCTTTGTGGTGGYAGAATCAAATTACAATGTCCAGTATGTTTTTCACCCCTTTTCCCTGCTCAGGACAATTYAGCTGTTTCCCTCTGCTCTGTTTGTTGAACTTGGAGGTTATTTGTTTCTCTTTCATGTTGCCTYCTTGCCAGAATGCTTGTTTACATTCAGTGGGAAGTTTTGCAGTGCATCCAAGGACTGCTTGTGAGCAAAGAGATTTCCAAAGGGATGCATAAAGTTTAATTATCTCTCTGATTTCTGTCTTCAACTCTTTGGTTTGAAGAAGGRTCATGAATGATCATGAAATTATTCCCATTCTCCTTTGAATGCATCCGTGGGAGTTTCCCTGCCTCAGTGAAGAGGAGGGTTTTGTTGAGAGCCTCTCCCTGTTCTTTGCAGTTTTTCTCCAGACCTCGCCCTGGACTCCCCTGGCACTGATCACTTTGTCATCATTGCCCAGCTGAAGGAGGAAGTGGCTACTTTAAAAAAGATGCTGCACCAAAAGGATCAGATGATTCTGGAGAAGGAAAAGAAGGTACAGTCCTTGACTTGCTTTCCCCCCAGCAGGCTGACATGTTCTCACAGATCACACCCTGACACAGCCTGGGTTTTTATCTTGGAGTGAACAAGTCCGGCTGTTTCCAGGCTGCCTCCTTTCCAAAGCCAAAGAGGCTCTCTGGACCCACCCAGGAGATTTCATTTCATGAAGGGTCATTTCCTGACCACTCTCTTGGAGACCTCTGTGTGTGGGCAAAACTGGGAGTGAACATGCTGCTGCTTGCAGAAATACCGTGCTGGCCCYTCCTGTTGCTCTGTGCTCTCAGTCACAGCGTTCTGGTCTTGTTGCAGTGCCCCAGCACCCTCACATTTGTGACAGCCAATGTCACACACCTTGTGCAGAGGCATTTTCCGTGACCAGGGGCTCTGGGGTGAGGGCAGTCATTGTCTCTGTGAACTCACTTACTCCTGCCTGGTTTCTGCACAGATCACAGAGCTGAAAGCTGACCTGCAGTACCAGGAATCGCAGATGAGGGCAAAGATGAACCAAATGGAGAAGACACACAAGGAGGTCATGGAGCAGTTACAGGTGACAGCATTTTTGGTTTAATTTGCTGAGCTGTGCTGTGTCCAGCAGGGACTGAGGACACTCCTGATCACAATACCCTGTGAGCTCCTGCACACAGAGCTCTGCTAATGTTTCTCATCCCTGTCCTACAGCCMGTGTGCTGCCAGGCAAGAGCTCTGCACTGCATCCCAACCCCCATTTACACCCACCTTGCTGCTTTCTACTCAGACTCACACGTACTGTGTGGTGAAGTGCTATGTTATGTCCCTTGTGGACTAGATAGGAACCATCAAACTCATTCTGCTTACTGCCAAAATCAGGTTTAAACTGTTTCTCCAGCCTGCAGAGCCTTTGTCAGCTCCCTGCACCTCTAAAGCATCTCCCTGTGATTTGTGTGAGCAGTAACCAGGGAGAACAAAGGAACAAYTGGCCGTTCATTTAGCCCTGTATCTCTAGTCTAAATAAAGAAGTCCCTGAGCTGATAGGAGCAGGAGAGCAGGATTCTTGTCATGGCTGTGGAAACACAGCAGACTATCAGCATGAATAGCTTGAGCCACCAAGGGGTCAGGTCAAAGGGGAAGAAATCAGACACAGAAATGAACTTTGAACCCTTTAATTACACTGGGTATATAAAGATCTAAAGCCCCAGCAATGACAGGTGGGAGGGGATTAGACAAAAGGCTTCTATTGCCCCTGAGAAAACAGSCCCTCCTCCATCCACACCCACTCTGGGGAAGTATCCCAGTGGAAGGCAGTGTTTGGAGCCTCCAGTTGCTGTCAGAGTACTGGTGCTTGTGAGAATCCGTTCACAATGCACATCCTTCTGCCTGGTGGAAGGCTGGAATGTCTCTGTGTGGTGTGGAGAKAACTGGATATGCCCTTTCTGAAGGGGAAGGAGCATTGGATCCAGGAGCAGGTGTGCCCAGCCACCTCCCTCTGCTGGGGCTTTCTGTGTGCTCATTTCAGGACTGCCCTGAGCTCTCTGGTGYCCAAATATTTTATTTCTGCTGGTATTGGTTGAGTTTCTGCAAACCTTCAGTGATTTCAAAATCAAAGTTCAGATCCCCTCAGTGTATTGTAGGTACCTTGAACTGTTCATATGATTTATTTTATRATGGCTGGTGGGTTTTATTGTTTTGTCTTTGTCTTTATCCGGGGAGCTGGGATGGGAGAGCCCTCTCTAGGTGGCTAAAGGTGAGCTCAACATCTRCGCCCCTTTCCACTTGTGTGCAGGTCGCCAGCAGCTCCTGCACAGGAATCCCAAGAGCTAATGATGATCCATGCCATTAAATACCCATTCTCCCTGTTTCCAGGCCAAGAACAGAGAACTCTTGAAGCAAGCAGCTGCCTTGTCAAAAGGCAAAAAGCCTGAGAAGTCAGGAGCAATAACCTCCCCTTAAAGCCAASCCCTCAAGCTGGGAGCTTTCCCCAGAATTAGCCAAGGAGTCTGGGAGACCTGCTGGATCGCTGGAAGCCAAAACCTCTGTGTTGTCTCTGTGCCACTGCTGTGGACTCCGTGGGAATTCCTGATGTGTGTTGCCTTCCAACAGTATGCTCGAGTGTGGCCGGTTTTGATCCRTGGGGAGAGGCCCCAGCCTTCCTAAATCCCCCCTGAAATACCGTTTTCTGGAAGAAATCTTTTCCTCTGCTAGCACTGCCAGCCCTTTCCATGAGCAAACAGGAACCTGCTGCATTAATGGTTCCCAACCTGCTGCTGTGAGGGAATTGCTGTGGCAGTTGTTCCACAGATAAAATGGGAGCTGCGCGTGGTGGGAGCTGGATTTTTTTTTTCCTTGAACTGTTCCCTCTTCAAAAGGGAACTGAGAACTCACCAGTCCAACAGATGTTCCTGGAAGGTTGGGCCACTGCTGACAACGGTTGAGCCAGCTCTTTGAAGATGCTTCCAAAATGGGGGCCATGTATTTATCTTGGAAGATTTTTGTGTTTGGTTTTGGTTTTTCTTCTTTTCTCTGTCAGCTTGGCAAACCAAACTGCCTGGTTTTGTATTTCCTTGTTTTTCTGATGAGAGCTTTTGGGTTGGGAGCCAGAGTGGAATGATACAGCCCCCAACCCACCCAAAATTCCCCCCCTCAGTTCCCTGGTTACATGGTGACCCCTGGGACTTCAATGATTTCTGCAGCTTGGTGTGTTCAAGCGTCTCTTATTCCATTTCTTTACACAAAGAGAGYTCAAGGCTTGGATATTCCCTCTCTTCTCCTTTTCCCTGCCCCTTGCAGATGCACGGGCCAGGTTGGCTCCAAGAAAGCACTTTCTCAGGCAGCAGCCCRAGCCAGGGCGTGTTTTTTGGGGCGCTCCAGGGATTTTTCTCCCTGCTGATTCCAAACCAGCAGGATCAAAGGGCTATGAGAGTTCCCTGTACCAGGGATGTGCTGCCCCGAAACAGCACAACCACCACTGACCCTTACAGCCAGGCTAGCTGGGGTGGGCCCCCCAGGTACCTCTTTTGGGGTGATGGTGGATAAAAAGCACTTGGAGGGGGAGCACCACACAACTCYGGGCTGGCAGGAGCTCTGCGACATCCCAGACTCCAATTGGGGGGTGGAGAAATGTCTCAGGGCTTGGAGACCCCTGAGGAGGGGCTGAAGGTAGGTAAGAGAACTCATCTTTTTGCTGCAGGGCGGCTGCTTTATCAGGGCTTTGATGAAGCTTTTTACTAGAGCTTGTGATTCATTTTTTCATCCTTTTGTTTCTTAGTTGTTACTAAAGTTGATTTTACTCAAAGGCACTTTTTTGGGATGATGTTGGCTTCTGGCACGGGAGGAGCGCATTTCATTGGACACTGCCATGTGTTTTTTTCTTTTTGGTTTTTCTAAGAGACTTTTGATGTGAAAATAAGCAAAACCAGAAATCGTTACACTTTGCCCAAGTGTGGCAGCAGGAAGAACTCACCCAATTTTATACTTTTAGAAAATGATGTGTATTGGTGGGAGTTTTTTAACYGTGGGCTTTGCTTTTTTCTTCCCTCAACATATAGAAATAAAAAGAGGGAGAAAGGCCCTGTAAATACTATTCAGTTGGGTTTTTAATTGTGATAAATTGCTCCTGCTGTCGCGTAGATGATTTGTAGCACCAACATTGTTTCTTTGTATGTTTGTAATAATGAGATTTTCAAGGGACACTTTGATTTGTACAAATGACACCTGTAAAAGGGATTTTAAAAATCCTCATCTGTGGCTGACATTTTGTTTGCTTTAGAAAAGGAAAAAACCAAAGCAACCAAAACACCTTTCCCTGCCTGGAGCTGATTTGTCTCTTGCTCTGGGGTTGGGAGTTATGGGATGGAGATGGTGTTTTCCCATCGTTTGCTTCGCTCCTACTTTCTTCTTTCTATCTTTAAATCCTCCCATCAAGCCTGTTGCTAGGATTCTGGTTACTTGGTTACATCCAGCTTCCCAGGACCCATCCAGCTGTATCTGATGAGAYTGATTTCTTATTTTCTTCTTCAAACACTTGAAGGCAGAGCGTGGAAACAGCATGGTCTTGGTAGGAAAAACAAAAGATGAGGATAAGGAAATTGTTTCTTTTAAGATACAGATGGAAAGGAGGTGAGTGAACCCGATGTGTGGCTCTAACATCTTTCCCTCAGCCCCGTGACGGTTTTTTTAAGCTYGTAGTTTTCCAGTGCAAAAGCTCCCCAGAGATTTCCATTTGGAAATTCCCCCATTCTTGCAGGAGCTGTAGTTTAGCATTTTCACCAAACCGTAGAATATCCCAAGTTAAAAGAGACCCACAAGACTCATTTTGTTCTCTCCTCATGCTGTGGGTGCAGGCTCCTGGCAGAGCTGCTGTGAGAGGACGGAGGTGCTGCCAGCAGCCCCAGACTGCTCCATGAGCACTGGGAGCCAGCCAGGAGCAGTGCTGAGGCTGCAGCTAACCAGCGCTGCCGGCTGCGAGCAGAGAGGGGATTCYGTGCTGCTCCAAACCCTGGAGCTCTGTCCACCCAGCTGGGCTCGGCCCCTCCTGCCTCYGCTCGATATGCACAAGTCATCTGTGGGCCAAATGGCCTCCTGGCACAGCCCTTCTTGTCTTCTGATGGGGTATTTTTATATTTAATATTTGGCAGCATCTCCAGCTGGATCATCACCTGATGCACACCCACAACCTGTCCCTCTAATATCCAGAGCTTTTGGGGGGRCAGAAAGGGGAGAACAGAAGCAGCCTCACCCTTCCCCTCCAGATTTGCTCAYTCTGTGTTACTTTCACTGCTGYWAAAGAAGAGAAGGATTTTSCCCTCCAGGCTGACAAACRCAGAGCTCATGGCCTCGGGTGGAAYTGTAAATCATCATGGAATGATTTGGGTTGGAAGAGATCTTAAAGYTTGTCTTGTTCCACCCCCTGCCATGGGCGGGGACACCTTCCACTGGAGCAGGTTGCTCCAAGCTCTCTCCAGCTCCCTCTTGGTCACCTCCAGGGCTGGGGCAGCCWCARYTTCTCTGGGCAGCCTCAGGACTGGCTGGTGACCAGCAGCACCTCCTGCCATGCCATGTCCAGCAGCTTCATTGACTGTGACAGTGCCAGAGGAGCTGGTGATGAGTTGCACTGGGGTTATGGGCTAAAACATTAGGGCMGTGCACGGCCATGTTCCCTCAGATAGATGAAATGAAACCCCTGAACTGGGCCTCTGAAATGACACAAGTGGCARTACAGAAGCAGAAACCTTGAGGTGGCCAGAGCCACGCAGACCCTCCAGCCTCAGCACAGAGCTGTGTTTGCAAAACACCCTAAAAATAGCTGCAGGAAGGGGACAAGGACAAGGAGTGGTGACCAGGGACATTTGAAACTGGCTGTGTCCTGCCGCAGAGGCTGAGGCTGTGGGCTGTGCTGGTCCTGGCTGTGCCAGCCGTGGCCTGTGGCCTGTGCTGCAGTGCCAAGGAGCACTGACCTTCCCTTGGTTGGCAGGAGCTCAGCCTGGAGCCCGAGGAGGCTGTTGCCAGGCAAATCCTGAGCTGTTTGTGCAGCGACTCCTGTTTGCTGAACTTTGCTGTGTCAGGCTGTCAAGCAGCACCAGTCACCAGCATTTGTCAGTACTAGTCTGGTATCAGTGCTGTGTCTGGRACAGCCCATGCTTGTGGGGATGGGTTTTTTCCCCTGCTTTACACCATTTTTGCATCATTATTTTTCTTTTCACCCTTCTTTTCACCTTTTTCTTTTCTTTATTATTTTTCTTTTTCCACTGTTTTTTTCTCCTATCTCTTTGGAGAAACACTAAACCCAATAAAAGAATCAGAATCCCAGACTGGTTTGGATTGGAAGAGATCTTAAAGCTCATCTCATTCCACCCTGCTCTAATGGGAAGGATCACCTTCAACTAGACCAGATTGCTTCAAATCCTGTCCATCCTGGCACTTCCAAGGATGGGGCAGCTACAGCTTCCCTGGGCACCGTGTGCCAGGGCTTCACCACCGTTACAGGAAAGAATTCCTTCCCAATATCCTCTCTAACATTGCCCTGAGTCAGTGGGAAGTCATTCCTCCTCCTGTCACTCCATCCCTTGTCCAAAGTCCATCTTCAGCTCCCTTGGACCCCATTAGGCATTGGAGCAGCTTTAAGGTCTCCTGGAGCCTTCCCTTCTCCRGGTGGATGCCCCAGCTCTCCTGTCTCCAGCGCAGAGGGGCTCCAGCACTCTTTGCTYCAGCAGCTGCACGTGCTGATGTTGGTGGCCCGGAGCTGGTCCCGCACTGCAGGCAGAGCCTCCCCTCTGAGCGGAGCAGAGCAGGCTTCCTTCAGCTTGCTTTTCCTTTTGTCCCCGGGACACATTTCCCCGAGTGTCCGAGGGTCGGGAAAGCGCGGATGGCTGTGGCTAGACCCGCTCTGTGTGTGTGTGTTAGCCGCGCCCCCGCATGTTAAAGCCATGGTAAACCACGGCTCGGGGCTGATAGCACCGCTCCTGGCCAGTGAGGCCGCAGCTCCGATGTCCCGGTGTGTTACACATCCCAGCA